TGCGGACTTGCGTCGGTCTTCTGAAGAGTCTGAGCACCTGGTCTGTTGCCGGTGCACTGGAAACAGCGAAAATGCCTTTTCAGCATCCACACAAAACTTTCAAGCAGCCGCGAGAACACTCAAGTTCCGGTGCGCCTTCAATGAATTAAGGTGCTCGTCTACGGGTTGGTTGCTTGCACCCTCGGTCCACGTCTTGCACTCTGGTTCCTTTGCGTCCCTTCCCCTCTGCTGCGCGGCCATCTTGAGAAGAAAGGCTAGGCCTCGTCATGTGGCTGTCATCAAATCTCTCATTGTGCAACCGTGTCAGAAAACATGGATCAACGACTGGGTGCCGCGTGCCAACCGTGTCCATGGACATTGCAGTCCCCGACTCCTCTGCATCCAGGTCGTCCCCAGCCTTGCGTTTCCCCGCCGCTGCCAAGGCAATCTGCGCAGCCTCTTCCCACGTCTTCGCGATCGGCCGCGTGTTGGCGATCGCCCCTGTAACTTCCAGCGTCTCAGCTTTTGCAACCCTGTCAGCCTGACGCTTCCTCTGGCGTTTCAATCGACGCTTGGCAGCCCTTGCTGCCCGAAGATCTTGCTCCAGCTTGTCACGTGTGCCAGACATGGCACCCTCCTGAACACCGTTCGGCGCCAGGTTGCCAGTGGGCTCCTTCGGGTCCCTCGCATGCGATGCTGCACCAGTGACTAGCGCAGCAGTCACTGCCGCAGCCATAGCAGCGATGGTCCTCCGTGGTGCACGCTCCCGGCACGCGGCTGAAATCGCTGCTCGAAGCAGCGACTCCTGACCAGCCATCGCCCACCCGTATAGTCCAGAAACAGGGCCGTAAAGCCCGGGGAAACTATCTGGACCTGCGATCGCTCGGGCCTTGAGCCAAAACGGCTACGGGGGTTTAGGGTTTAGGGTTTAGGGTTTAGGGTTTAGGGTTTGGGAGTTTACGGTTTAGGGTTTAGGGTTTGGGAGTTTAGGGTTTAGGGTTTGGGGGTTTGGGGTTAGGGGTTAGGGTTGAGGGCTTACCTGAAGGGGCCTAAAGCCCCTAAAGCCATTTTCCGCACCACGCCCAGCCATAGTTTAGGGCTTAAGGGTTTAGGGTCTAACTATGACACTTGCAGTTCAGGTAAAGCGTTTAGGGATTTAGGGTTTAGGGTTTAGGGACAGCTCCAAGATAAGAGTTTGGAGCCCTAGGTTTCGAGCCCTCCACTCCTTCCGGTGCCAGGAGCACCCGCTGAAGAGGCTCAAGTCAGCCTATCTCTGGAAGAAAGGCGACAGGGTTCCGGGTTTTAGGGTTTAGGGTGTAGTGTTCCGGGTTTTAGGGTTTAGGTTTTAGGGTTCCGGGTTTTAGGGTTTAGGGTTTAGGGTTTAGGGTTTAGGGTTTAGGGTTTAGGGTTCCGGGTTTTAGGGTTTAGGGTTTACGTTTGGGGTTCCGGGTTTTAGGGTTTAGGGGTTTAGGGTTCCGGGTTTTGGGCCTTCTCCTACGAAGCTCAGAGATGTTGGGCTTCGGCGGCTTCGGGAAACACGCACAGCCAGCCCGAGTTATCGAAATCTTCCGAGCGGAGTTGACGTGCTTAGGAGTTTAGGGTTTAGTTTATAAGGAGTTTAGGGTTTAGTTTAGGGTTTCGGGTTCAGGGTTTAGGAGTTTGGTTTGGGGATTAATTTTTTCTCGGTTTAGTTTAGGGTTTCGGGTTCAGGGTTTAGGAGTTTGGTTTGGGGATTAATTTTTTCTCTTCCCACTTGAGATCTCTCAGCGTTGCATGGGATGAATTGGGGCTGTTACTAAAGGGGTCAATTGCACAACGGTCCACGGAGGGCGCGTGGAAGGGACTGCGGAGTGATTCAGACACATGCCAACGCGTCGAGGCGCGGAAAGCCGTGGAGTTTTTGTGTCGCAGAGGTTGAAACCCAAGAGGAACAACCGCAGCTCAAATGCTGCAAGATCAAACCATGCAGTCTTTCCGAACTCGATCTCCAGAGAGGTCTTGACCCAAAAAGCCTCACATGCCGGACCCGAACCCTTAAATCCCAACCCTACATCTTTCAAGCCCGGGAAACCCCTAGATACATCTATGCACCGTAAATCCGAAACCCTAACCCCTAGATTGGGCACTCAAGCTGTCCATCTATCCCTAGCCCCCCGATCCTGATCCCCAAAGCCCATAAACTCGGCTTTTCGGCTGGGTCAACCCGAAACCCTAAACCCGAAACCCT